GTTTGAATAATCCTAAAGACGAGTTAGGTAGGGAAGTTACTAGCTCTCACTCTAGAGTTCCCTCTTCTCCCTCCACCTGGGGCCTAACTTCTCATATCAAGACCTAAAATAATAGACCGAATTGAGGGCTTTAGTCTGTTACTCTAAAGTCCTCTAACTTCACACCCTTCAAAGTTTATTTCCTTATTTATTTGCACTCAACTAAATGAATTGCATTCTCATCCGTACAATCTCATGTGATCTTACATGTTCTCACAACAAATATTAACATCTTAATTGGTCAAATCAAGAAATAAATGAAGTATAAAGATTAAATCATCACAACTTATTCCAACATTATAGATCAATACTTCATACAAATTCCTTCCAACTCTTAATTACTTATCATTTTATAGAAAAAGGATAAAGAAAACTACTCAGAATTCATGGAGAAAACACAAAAACAATTAAATTTAAATGTAGAAATCATGTAAAAACACAAGAAGTCTAAATTAAAACTACATGTAGTCAAAAAGATAAAATTTTATCTCAAATTCCTTTCCACCAAACTCTTGAAGTTCCTTTGAATCTCTTCCTTTCTCTTACAATGCTTCCTAGGTCTGGTCGCCCAACCTTAGAGGGTTAAAATTTCTCTATGACACTAACAAACTACAATGGATTCTTACTTAGAACAATCTAATCACTTTCTCTTTCACCAGGAATGAGAAAAGTGAGAAGAAGCCTTAAATAAAATCCTACAACTCCTTACTTTCTACTCTCTAAAAGTATCCTAAGTCTTTTATATAATTTTCTCCTCCTAATAAAGGTACTTTAGTGTCTCTTCAAAATGTGTCCACATTCAATGAATCTTCCAAGAGTTGTCTCTTTTCAAGAGTCATTTCAATGTATTTTCGTGCCCATTAACTGTAATTCGTGTTTTCAACAAGAGTTTCTTCAAACACTCCTTCAAAATTTATCCAAATTCCTTGAATTTTCATCATAACTACCCTTGATGCATAAGCATGAGGTCTTCAGTGCTTAGGCGAGATATTCTCTATTTCTTGGCGCTTAAGCGTCAGTCCTAGGCACTTAGGCGCCATAGTTCATTTTCACACATTCTTCATTTTTGCTCCAAATTTGATCCTTTTTCACTTCTTTCACCATATTTCATCTATTTAATTGTACCTAAAAGAAAAACACACAAATATTTTTCATTAAAGCACAATATCCTAAAAAATAAGTATAAAAATGTGTACATAAATGCTATATATTTTAGGTGTATCAATTAACACAAAAATTTGGGATTATATAGCTCCTCCAAGGTGACTTCAAGAGAAGTGTTAACTATAATTCTATTTTTATTATCACAAAGAGTCTATGAAAGGAGCTATGAAGTGATTCTAACACTCGTTAGAATTAATTAGTAGGTATTATTCAATTGGTTTTGATACTCTCATCAATCTATCTTCAAAAGTTATTAGACCTGAACTCTCTATATTTTAAAGCACCTCTCTAAAGATTTCATAAGATCAATGTTATATGCCATATTATAAGGTAGATTCATGTGTTCATCTTTTCCAAAACTTACTTATACGCAGTAATTCTGATATCTTACATAATTTTATTTAGGATATTAGAGCAATTGATGGAATGCATGTGGATGCATGCATGCCCAATAATAAAAAAAATACATACATTGGACATTGTTGTTCATCGACACAAAATGTAATGGTTATATGCAATTCAAATATCTGTTTCACTTTTGTAATGGTAGGATGAGAAGACAACGACACAATAGTCACATTTTTAAATTTATTATGTGAACTCATAATTACAGTTTTCCAAAGTTGCCTCCTGGTTAGCTTGAATTTGAATAAATGAAATAATACTTTCAGTACAAAGCTAATTTCTATACTTATAACACAAAAATATTATTTAGTTGATGCTAGATATCCATTACAAAAGGGTATCTCAAACCCTATCTTGATACAAAATATTAGATTCCTTATTTTAAAAGAGCTAACAATGTAGCTTAAGATAGAAATGAGATATTTAATAATAGACACTCATTTTTACGTGGCAATATTGAGAGAACATCAATGTTTAGAAAACAATGGGTTATTATATGAAATATGCCCGCCTATCTTTTCAACAAACAAGTGAAGATTGTGGTCGCCACAATGACTCTTTAAAATAACATTTATCTACATTCTTCATGTAGTGATATTGATTTCAATAGTGCAAATGAGGATCAATCACATGTACCTACTGAAGCATATGAATATTACCTAGGATAGTCAATCTCATAAGCTGAATGTCATTTACCTGTGTCATGTACTTAGGATGGAGATGGTGCTGTGGAGAAGGAGCTGAGAGAGCAAATTATAAATCTAATAGTTAATGGGTAAATTGATATTGTATGCAACTTCTGTTTTATTTGTATAGAAGATCTTGTGAGAATGCTTAAAGTTTATTATAATGAAGCTTTATACATTATTTCTCTTTTGAGATCTCATTTTAATACAAATTATTTTTCCATTAATTATTCATGTATTTTTTCCTGCATAAATGACCTCCTAAGTAGCCACAAGTTCAATATATATACATTTTTCTTGCATGTTTTTTTTTTGTTTAGATATCTATGATAAGATATATGCCCTTAGAACTTATTCTAGATGACCTATATGTTGCTTTGGATTTTGACATGTATGAAATTGTCATCCAAGCAACCAATACCCCCTTCTTTTTCTTTCATATGACTGCTGAGGTTTTTTTGGATATCCTTTGTGATGATATTCTTCTGTGAAACATATGAGCTCAGTATTACATGATTTAAAGGTAACTGAGATCTTTTTTCTTAAAGCTCTACTATCTTCTTGTAGTGAAAGATTATTCATCAATTTATCCTTTGTTCTATGAGATCGCAAAGCTTAATAAAATTTTAATTATGTATTTCAATTATTCTTATAACTTTATAGGTGTCCAAGTTATATATCAGTGGAGGACTGTGACTTCCAGGTGGGTGAATCAATTCGATGATTTCACCTCAGATAATGATCGAATGTGGAGAGTTAAAATTGATCGTCTGCATTTCAAATTCAATATCATGATAATGTTAATTATTGTTTTAATAGTTTCATTTTTAATTTTGATTGTTGTTTTACTCACAACTTTATAAAACTTTAATTATTTATTTCCAGCATTTGTATAATTTTTTAGGTGTGCAAGACATATATTAGTGGCGGACTGTGACTTCTTCATGTGACTGGATCAGTTCGACAATTTCACCTTAGATTGTGATCAGACGTGGAGAATTTCTTTGGAGAGGAAATTATCTTGTGAAATTGATCGTATACATGCTAATTGTTGTTTTAATAGTTTATTTTTAATTTTTCTTATTTTGTTACTCACTGTTTAGTGAAATATTAGTTTTTAACATATAATATTCAAACTTATGAGTTTTTTGTGATTCTAAATCTAATTTTTATTTTCATGCATGAATTATGTAACTTATACTGGTTTTATTATAAATAACACAACAATACACAGCACAACTACTGCACAACTGCACAAAATAGACAGACACACAGCTTCACTGCAACAACTTCTGCTCCCCAACTTCTAGGCACTGTAGCTGCCCCAAACAAACCCTTAGACACCAGTGGTTCTTTTGTCTTATGCTGGCAGACCTTCCTGGCTATACGTCTTAATCTCTCAGTTTGTTTAATCTTATCAAGATTTGTGCTGATGCATTTTTTACGTACACTAATATTTGGATGATTTTGCTTATGTAACTTTTAAATCTAAGCCTCATGTCTGGGTTTATAATTTTGCATGTGCTAATAGACCCACTCTTTTTCACTTTAACTCGCAAGTTTTCAGTTTTTGCATTTCATGTCTGGGTACTTGAGGTGGAAGCCCTTATTGAGGAAAAATCTTTAGGTTTTGACCTTATTTTTTGGAGTTTTTTTGGAAAAATTATTACACGCAGATGAGTTAGATGCAAATAAATGCAAAATTGGTTGTATTTTGTTGATTTCAAGTATATCTTTCTGTCTCATCCTAAAGACATTTGGGGTAAGTTTCTGTCCCCCTATATGTCTTTCTTCTGTTGAAGATTGTTCTTAAAGATGCTTCCTACTGATGTCATACTTAAGCTCAAAAGACTACGGGGACCTTCTTGTTGTTTGTTGTGTAGACATGATAAGGAGCATCTCCATCATTTATTCTTTGACAGCCCTTTTGTCCAAAATGTTTGGCAGAATATCTTGTACCAGCTTCACATAAAGAGGAATAGATGTTAAAACACTTTTAAGCATAGTAACTCTTTCTTTCCCAAAAGAAAGGAAAGAGGTTCTCCATTCTCCAATTATGATTCCGATTTTTTTAACCCCATTATCAAATTGCTTCTGTCTCCTTCTCCCCATGAGCAAATTGACTCCCATATACTTGAAAGAAAATTCAGAAATAACAAAACCTGTAAATTCTTTGGCCTAAGTTTTTAATGTATAGCTTGCTTTCTTAACAAAAAAGAGCTGACATTTATCTTCATTGAATGACATCCCAAATGTTTCTTGAAAGGATAGTCAAGTGTTGTAGATCTTCTTACATGAGCACTTAGAAGCATTATTGAATATTACTATATCATCAACATCAGCTACGTGGGATATCCCCACCTTGGCCTCATTTTTATAATGAATGTGAGGATGAGTAATAAAGACATTGTTAGTCAGCTTAAAAAAAATAATTATCAGCTTAAAATAAGTATTGTGGTGGTATTGCACTAAAATATCATCAATACGCATGCACATAGTCTGCATGTAATAATCGCTTTTGTGGTTTGTTCTTTTAATTCTTATCTTCATGCAATTGTTTAATTTTGCTTATGCAATTAAACTATGTATATAATTGCAGCATATTTAGATTTGAAGTCCTTCGTAGCTAAAAACTTATAAAAGTACACACGAACCAATTTTTTTCCTTGAAAGTGGAAAAAGAAGTTACATAAACAAATTCATCCAGGAAATATTATCATAGGACCGCTATTAAATTCGCCGCGCGTCGGCCGACTGGACTGTGGAAAGGAAACAACTTGAGATCTACTCTCTCCCCAAAACCTAATGGCCTCCTCCGCGTCCCCCCCGATTCTCCCGATCTCCAACTCCCAGCCAACTGCTGCCGTCTCCACCGCATCTTCTGGATCCATCTCATCTCCGTCATTAGCGCCGGCCACTACCCCTGCCTTCCGTCTCTTCCTCTCCCGCCTTCAAGAATCTATCCGCAGATCTCTCTCCGACCGCCGTCCTTGGTCTGAACTTCTCGACCGCTCCGCCTTTTCTCGACCAGAATCTCTTTCTGACGCCACTTCTCGTCTCCGGAAAAACTTCTCCTACTTTCGTATCAACTATTTTACTCTAATCGGCGCCGTACTTGCTCTCTCCCTCGTCTCGCATCCCGCCTCCCTTTTCGTCCTACTTGGATTGCTCGCCTCTTGGTGCTTCCTATACATCTTCCGTCCCTCCGATCCCCCGCTCGTTCTCTTCGGACGCACTTTTTCGGATCGCGAAACACTATTTGGTCTTACCGTCATCACTGTCTTTGTCGTTTTCCTCACGTCGGTTGGATCTCTCATAATCTCTGCGTTGCTAGTCGGTGCTGCGCTGGTGGCCGCTCATGGTGCCTTCCGCGTGCCGGAGGATTTGTTTCTCGACGATCAGGAGCCGGGCGGGGCGGCGACTGGATTCTTGTCGTTTCTAGGCGGAAGCTCGTCGAGTGTAGGCCCGGCAGTTGTTACGGGTCGTGTGTAATGCGGACTTGGCTTTCCGGATCGAGATCCACGGGGGAAGGTTGGTGCGATTTCTTTTTATTTTCAGTTATTATTGATTATGTAGAGTTAAACCGTGAAGGAGGATTTGTTTGGGGTCATCTAACATTGTGTAGCTAATATTGGGGTACATTTTATAAATCTTATGGAATTTTTTGTAAAATTTGGAATTCTGCAATTTGACTATTGATTTATCAATTTTTATTTTTATGAAATGCTTGAATTTTTATTTTATGTGCGTTGTATTTACTTTTTCAAAACACATACTCGGCTATTACTGTCTAGAATGACATTATTGGCACGAAAATGAATTGGATGGATTATAAATTGATACGAGGTTCTTCTTTTTTGTTTTGGAAACAACATTGGCATTGGTAACTGCCAATGAACACAACAGCATGAACAAAGGAAGAAACAACGGACCGAATTTAGAAATTGGAAATGACATTGTTTCTCATGCCTTCTAGAGGTCAAACCATATACTCATATAATTTGATCTGGTTTCTGTATTTAGTGTGATTGTTTCCTTTATGTATTTTGATGGCGATTAAATGAGAGCTGAATATGCCTATCAGTCAAATGTTTACTTAGAATCTGAAAGATAACCTATGGTTTGATATATAAGTTTGTATGCTTCCGTACTTTTGATGTCGTGCAATTAATAGTTGAACAGTTATTGAAATCTGAGATTTTTTTTTTTTTTTTATGGGAAAAGTAAAATTTTATGTGTGTCTAATCTGATAATGGGGTAACTGTGATCAAATGCTAGGGGCTTTCATGCATCCAGCGTGTTTCTACTTTGTAAAGTTGTGCTAGAATTTTTCACAAGCCATATGGTTCTGATAGAGATAATCCCATTCTTCTGGTTAGGAAAATTTCCTGTTTTGTGTGTTTAACCTGTTCATGTGTAACATTGCTTTGGTCCATTTATTTAGGTTTATGCTTTATAAAGTATATTATGATTTTGATCCCAATTTTTTCTTTTTAATATTATTTGTTTTCTTTTTCATTTAAAAGTTGCAATTACATTAGTTTTTTTGTAAAGCTTATGGTTGTGCAATTGGGTATTATGGTAATTTATGTCCGTGAGGTGAGGTGGGTGTGTGTTGAGGCATAACTTTCAAAAGTTTTAAAAAAATAAGCACGAAGGAAAAAATTATTCTACTAATTTTAAAGTATGTAAGGTAGTATATTAACATTCTAACATATAATAACACAGTAGTAATTGGTATATCAAAATTCTATTATAGTAATAAATAATAGAGTATGCAAAGTAGAAGTAATATATTGACATACTAACATCAAATTATGAAGTATAAGGGCTATATAAATATTAAATTAAAATAAACTATCAAAATAATATATAATGACATAATAATCAAAATAATTTCAACAAAACTCACTCTCTACCACTTCTAATATTCTCCATCAAAATAAAAACATAAAAGTAACCAAGATTAAAGTTTCTAAGTTAAAAAAATCTATCATTATCATTACTCAATAGATCTTCATTATAATCACTAGGATAATGAATTATTTTTTCTTTCCACATCCTAAATTGTTTTATGTCTTTTCCTCATCATCATCAATCTAAATTTTCTTCATCTTTCCTAAACATTAAGAATATTAATTAAATTTTAAAATAATGACTAAGTTTGTAGTCACTACTTTAAATATATAATTTTTTTTGAATTTTTTTTTTTATTTCTTACTGGCCTGCTTTTGACCTATTGGTCTTATATTTATCCCCATGGAAGAAATCAAGAGAGATTTTATTGCAAATTAAATGTTGCTGTCAAACATGTCAATGGCGCGTGCTTTGGTGTATGGCTTGTCGCGGTGCACCCTTATGTCATTTGTATGGTGAGGCATGGTGCACCAAAATGGCTCGCTAATGCATTGTCCCCACAACATAGACTAAGTTGATTTCTAAGATTTAATTGAAAAAAAAAAGGACTTGCCTGTTTACAATGCATTTTTTATGTATTTGTATTCAGCACAACTTTATATTTATATAACACTAAATTTTTTAACATCACATAAAAGTTCCACTAATTCTAATTTCCTAAGTGAAATAAACTTTTTTATGCATATTTTTAGTTGTGATTATTACACAAAGTGTCATTTATGTAAATATTAACCTTTAGGTGTTGAATATGCATATGAATACTGTGTTATGTATGTAAATTCCACAAAGTTAACACACACACACTCACACACACATATACATATGCACATATAAGTGTATGAGTGCGCACACACATGTTGACTGGAGCGCACGCACAGACACGTATATACATATCTATATGCACGCATGTACGCGCACACACACACACACAGATATATATATATATATATATATATATATATATATATATATGTATATATATATATATATATATATATATATCTATATATATATATATATATATATATATAAAGAAAGAAAGAGAGTGTGTGAGAGAAGTAGAGAATGTGGAAGAGTGTGATAAAGAATGAGAGAGTGTGCATGTGACGGAGAAAGAGGGAGAGAGAGATAAAGAGAGAGTGAAAGAGTGGGTGAGATAGCAAGTGAAAGGGGGTGAGATAAATAGAGAGAGATAGAGAGAGATAAGATTGAGAGAGAAAAGAGATAAGGCGAGTTATATGTATATGATGCCATAATTTTTTTTTAATCTAAAAGCAAGGCAACAAAATGTTCCCCTGCACAACCCAATGATAGATCGTTGTGTCATTGCTTGCTTGTAAGCATCCCTCACTCTACGAGGATGATGAAAAAGATTAGATTTCAGAAGATTATAAGGGCCTTGTCGTTTTATTTTTAATTGAATAATATTTTGTATTTATTAGGATGTCCTATGACCAGACTAAAATTTTGTCTGGATGATTGATTTTGTGAACCTTTGAGAATAAAGAACTATTTGACTGGAATAAAATTGCTTTGTAAGAATTGGAAGATCATGCATAATTTATCTTCAAAATAGTGAAAATCTTGCTGTCCTACGTCAAGCCCAAATTGATAATTAATTATTAGAAGATGAGATTCCGTTGTAGACCTAGGAAGAGAACAACCTCACACGGATAACCCAATTCTTAGGAGTGAAAAATGAAGAGGCTGTTCTCATAGGAATGCTAATGACTAATGATTTTTCTAGGAGAGTTAAAGTTGAACATGCCACCTATGATGGCACATACGATATTGGAAGATTCTTTGTTTGGTTGGTCCAACTGAATGACTTGTTTGATTGGCATAAAATATATATTAATAACCAAATGTTATCTCATTTAACAAAAAGCTGTAAGAGAACTTACTGATTTTAAAGAAAGATAATCTAATTATAATAGAATAGTTGAATATTTGTAAAGACTTAGTTGCTACAGACGATTATGCTGTCAATGATTGGTGATTAGACAATAAATTTATCATTAGATTTTGAGTGGATATTAATAACAAAGATGAGTTATTTGATAATCAAATCTCAGAAGATACCTTTCATCATTCTTTGTTGATAGAGAATTAATAGAAAATTGCTCATCTTCGAGATCAGAAAGCCAGGTTAATCCACTTAATTCCATAGGTCTACCGTTCGATCCACTCTACCTACTGAAAATCGAACTCATTTTCCCTAAACCCTTACTGCTATGATTCTACAAATACTAAAAAGATAATTTACTTCAAATGTAACATGAAGGATCATATACAAATTCAATATAAATCTTAATTTTTTAAGAAGAAATTGTAAATTCCATGGATAATGACATGTTAGAAGTTTATAAAGACACCCTTTTTTTGAAGTTATTGAGTTCATAGATAACTCTTCAATTAATTGAATGAGTTATTTGACTACGAGAGGAATGAATCTTTTTTGTATGTAATTTGCAATGAAAAAAGTGCTATTTATAGATGATAGTGCAGCTCTTGCCATCTTTAATTTACCTTATTATTAGCGTTTGTATCAATATTAAACAATATTAAAATTTTTTCTTGTTAGTCGGGTCAATCATACATCTCCATCCATCACAAGTAGATGCCCCATTTTTTTAAGGATTGATAGTTATAAAAATAAATATGGTTTGATACTCTTTATTGACATTACTCGTATTTTTTTTAAACCCTATTTGTATGATTTAAATGTGACCCAATAAAATAAGAAAAATATGCATGTTTTGAAACATGGCAATATGATCATTCAACTCATTTATATTAAACCTATAAAAAGACACACCCCATAACACCTCACAAAACTAACTCTGTGCAACAAAAATCCACTTAAAAAGAGAGGTGCTTGACTTTAATTTTCATACAAAACCTAACTATCATGATCTTGGTTTTGAAAGAACTCAAATATCTATCATGATATCTCCTTTCCTTTTTGAGTTTTGTGATGGTTCATCTGATGAGTGATGTATATATTACATTCTTTTATGTTTATTCAATTTGTTATTGGCCTATTCCATTAGTTTATTACTTTGTAAGTTTCCCCATTGTAGGATGAATCCCTTTGAGCATACTGAGCTCTGAGATAAGTGAAGGACTTAGAAAAGAATTTATATGAAATGGTTTTTGTCCTTTTGCAATTCTAACAAGTCTTAGTAGCCTTTTTTTTATTTTATTTAAAAAATAATCATGAGATTAGGATTTAATAAAATGAAGAATGAAAATTCTTTATGATCCGTAATGGACTCGACGAATGGTTAGTGATACCTTTTAAGCTTTCAAACACCCCAATCACATTAATAAAATGAATAAAATCCTAAAACTTTTATAAACAAAATTTCTAATATTTATTTTGATGATATCTTAATTTTTTGGCAGAGCGAGGCAGATCATTTTCAATATTTTCAGTAAATTTTTAAACCTCTTAAAAATAACAATTGAACGTCAACTTGAACAAGTATTATTTTAAAAAAATGAAATGATTTTCCTAGAATTTTTATTTTCATTATTGGAATCAAATCTAACCCTTCTAAAATTTAAGGAATTATAGATTAACCTAACTCAAAGACTTAAGAGTTTCATTATAATATGAAGTTTTTACAACTCAACTGTTTTCTATCGAAGATTTATTGAGAATATTAATAAATATTGTTTTTATCACTGATATTTTAGGCTTGGAGAAATTTTTGTTGTCACCTACCATATAAAAGCCTC